TATGACACCCAGGTATTGGAAGTCTTTGAAGCCCATCCCACTAGCTTGTAAAGGTTTACATAATTTCTGCCTAGGGAGCCAGTGAAATTGCTTCCTTTGACCAGCCTTTGACCAGACCTTTGACCAGACCAGAGAAATTTGTTGAAGATCCTTCCAATGGAACCTTGAGTACCCTTTTGCATGGAGAACATTTAAAGGACATAAGAAGGCATTGTAGTGAGAATACTCCTCAAAACAGTGATCCTCCCACCATTAGAGAGGAAAGATTTAGTCAAATGTTCAAGTTGTGCTTTGATCTGATCAATGACATCTTGGAAAAGTATTTGTCTAGTTATGCCTTTGAGTAGAAGTATCCAAGGTATTTAATAGGGAGGTTGGTATAGCAGAATCCAGTGTATTCAGAGATGTGTATTCAGAGATCCAGTGTCAGAGATCCAGTGCTTGAGCTGAGGTGAGGAGTTTTTATTAATATTAAATTAACATTTTTGTTTGTTGAGTGCCATACTTGAAGATTGCTGAAAGTGGAGAAGGCAATTATATACCCTCCTGACAAAATTCTTGGCAGCATTGGAGAAAATAATAATGTCATCAGCATAACCTAAATGGCTTATAAGGATATTAGATCTGTGATGGAAAGCCAAATGAGGTGAATTCGAAACCAGCCTATTCAATTGTCTTGAAAGGTAGTCCAGAGCAACTATAAAAATGGTTGGAGACAAGGGGTCTCATTGCTTGATCCCCCTGGTAGCATTAAAGAAGCCATGACACTTGCCATTGATCAGAATTGAATGTGCATTGCATTTAAGTCATCTGTGTATCAAATTAATAAAGGCTTCACTGAAGCCTCTAGCAAAAAGAGTATCAAGGATGAATTCCCAATTAATGGTATCATAGGCTTTGCTTATGTCCAGTTTGAAAATGACATTTCCTCCTCTATAATTACTGTCAAGATCTAGCAGGAGTTCCTGGGCAAGAAGGATGTTGTCAGTAATATTCCTCCCTTTAATAAAAGCCACTTGGTTGTCACTAATGAGATGTTGAAGGTGGGGTTGCAGCCTAAACACAATGATTTTGCTGATTATTTTGGAGATCACATTGGTTAGGCTGATTGGCCTGTAATCCCCCCAAGTTTTCCTATTTTTATTCTTAGGTATCAGAGTGATGGTGGAGGCACTGAAATATTTGGGGGGGTCCACACCAAGAAAGAAGTTTTGGACAACAAGGATAATGTCTTGTTTAGTCCTATCCCATGTGGCTTTATAAAAGGTAGATGTGTAGCCATCAGGTCTGGCAGTTTTGAGGCCATCAATGGAATCTAAGGTTTGTTTTATCTCATATTCCAAAGGGGTACTAGTGAGATTTAAATTATGAGCATAATGATGACAGTTAGTGAACATCTCAGTTTCTATAGGACTTCTAAAATCCAGCTCATTGGTGAACAACTTTTGGAAATGTTGGACTACATCATAAGCTATCTCATCAGCATTGATTAACTTCCTGCCATTGATATTGTTTATGTTTAAAATCATGTTGCACTTCCTTCTATGGTTGATACAAGCATGGTAGTATCTAGTGTTTCTATCACCATCAGTAAATTTAGTGACAGCAGCTTTTTGTTTTAAGAAACATTCCTGGTATCTGATTTGTGCCAGCAGTCTCTCATTGGCATGGTAAACTTCATATTTAGAGTTCCTCCCCATAAGTAAGCCTTCCTCCAAGCTATGGACTTCTTTTTGGATGGCCTACAACTGTTCATTCACGATACGAAATCTTACTCAATTTCTTTTTTTCAGATGAGAGGCTAAGTTCATCTGATTTAGCCATAATCTGATCCAGGGGTCAGCATGCAGGTTGGAATTCCAATTATTTTCCACTACCTTAAAGAAATCAGGATGTAGAGTCCATATATTCTGAAATTTGAAAGGTGTATGAGTTGGTCTAGCAGTATTCTGTATGGAGCAAAGGAGAGGTCTGTGGTCAGATCCAGCCATTGCAAGGTGAGTGACAGTAGAGAAAGGGAAGGTTTGAAACCAAAAGGAGTTGCCCAGCAATCTATCCAATCTTTCCCACAAAGTGCCTCTTCTCCAAGTAACCTTTGGACCTTGAAAGCCTAGAACAAAAAGACCAGCATCACTGATGAAGTTGTTGAAATTGGCTATTGAAGAGAGTAAAGGGGCTTTACCCCCTCTTTTTTCAGTTGGAGAAGTGATACAATTGAAGTCACCCCCCAAAATCTAGAAAGTGTTAATATTTTGTCCCAAAATCATTAGCTCATGCCACAATTCTTGATGGTATCTAGGAAGGCTGCTAGCATAGATGAGTGATGCAAAACCCACTTGTGCTCCAATAGCAAACTGAATATGAAGAAACTGATGATGGTTAACCAGTAAACTGCACTTAATTTTAGGTCTGACTAATAGCCAGATTTTATTAGTGGAATTAGCATTAAAAATAAGCTTGGAAAACTTGTTGATGATGTTTTGAGGATATTTGGTGACCATAGGTTCAAGAATTGCAAAGCACCAAATCTTGTGAAGTTTGATGAGATGTCTTAATCTCAAAATAGAGGAGGGGTGAGCCACTCCTCTAATGTTCCAACACAATATATTAATCATGGGATCCTTAGCATTCCAAAGTGGAATACTAATCACTGATAGGAGAAAATTGAATAGAAGGTTGAGACCTTGACCTAGTTCTTCCTCTATTATAAATAGAGGTAGAGCCATAATGAGTCTTAGCCTTCCCATCCATCATATGAGAGTTTGTTCCTTGTAGAAGTTGCTGCACCTCAGAAGTCTGCTTTTTCTTTTTCCTCGTTTTCTGAATTTGCCAATCTTCTTCCATGGCCTGTTACAAATCCATGATATCAGCCTCAGCAATGCTAGGAGTAGCCTCATTAATTGGGGAACTTTTCATCACATTCTTTTTCCTTATTTTCTGACTTTGCCTATCAGCTCCCAAATCCTGCTGCACTTCAACCACAGCAGCTTCATCAGTATCATCCTCAGTGAATAAAGGATTTTCCAAAACACATTTCCCTTTTTCAGCAAGTGTGGGGGAGGGAGGGGTAATAATTCTGACTTCATTAGGTTCAGCCCTCACCATACAACCTGTAGAAGATTTCAAGTTGTTGTGGGGTTCAGATAATTTCCCTAATGGATCACGAGAGGGGAAAGTAGCAGGAGGATTAGTGTTCTTATCAGAAGGAGTTTTACTGGTTTGCCTGACAGTTTCCTTGTGATTAATAATAGTGGTATGATTGCTTTGTCCCTGATTAGAAGCCTGACTAGCTACCCTTGGATTCATAGAGAGTTTTTTTGTAGGAGGGTGGAGCCTATAGCATTTCTCAACAGTGTGACCAAACATTTTACAGTGTTGGCAGTAAAAAGGCTTTTGTTCAGTAATTATATCTTGACAAAACCCCTCTTGATCAGAACCAATCCATATCCTTTTTATCTCAGGGAGAGTAATGTCTCTTTCCACCTGAATTCTAGCAAGTGCAGGTCTTGCCATATTGAATGTAGGAGCATCAACCTTGAGGGGAGTACCAAGTGCTCTCCCTATGTTAAAAAGTGCATTAAGCTTGAAGTAAGGTAATAGAAGACCAGGTAGCTTAAACCAAATTGGGACCACAGGAGGCTCCTTAGTTGGGTCAAAGTCTCTAGTCCATTTCTGGATTTTCATTGTAACTCCTGATATAGAAGCAGCTTGTTTAGCAAATAGCCTAGCATAATCTTGTTCCATTGTGAGTTGGATAAGAAGATGCCTGCGATCTACCAAACCAAGCTTCCATTGTCCAATGAAATTTAAAGAATCAAAGAAGCTTCTAACAAGGTCCATTTTGGGATGTCACAACTGGAATTTTCCGACAAGAGTGAATTTGACTTCTTCATTCAGTGAAGCAATTTCAGCTGGAGAGAAAAAGACTGTAGTTTCTCCATCTTTAAAGCCAAGGGGGTTAATTCAAGGGAAAATCCCTTTGCCAGCAGCAGCATTATGAAATTCCTGAGGAAAGATTAAATTTGTAGGATCTTGGAGAGTGTCATTAGCTCTTCCAACAATCCCTGCATAAGTAGCCTTAGTCCAACTGAAATTAGTGTGAACATCTATGGGAGTGGCCATGACACCAGCCACAAGGAGAAAACCCAAAAATTTATGAGTAAATAAACAGAGAACAGGAAAGAAAGCAGGAGGCGAGCAACAAAAAAAACCAGAGAAAACAGGAGGCCTCCAATGGAACATCTCTAGCCTCAGAGAGATTTTACAAAAATAAAAAAATCTAATAAGAACCAAAGAAGCAGTGACTGAACCGCCATAGCCTAAGAGAGGAGTGATGTGGAAAGACTTCAAAGTGTAGGAGGAGGACAAGGCACCCTGATGAAAGCAACAACCCCAGGAACTTTATAAATGAAAGTGGAAAATACAAGTTTGAGATGCGTCTACCAAATCCTATGTCATATCTTAGCGAGTTCAATTTTTGAGGATGATTCCATTAAGCAAATCATAATAAGTCCAGGTGTCCTTCAAGGTTTCTATAGGATCATGAGGAAGCCTCGGGTAATACCCTAGAAATTTTACAGTCCCTAAAATTATCTTGAGTTCATTTTGGTCTAATTATGTTTTCTATATACTTCAACCAATTAATACTCTTATGCTCCGTGAATTTTGATGTTTTCATTATTTATTACGTGACATAATTGTCATTTGATATCTCACTTATGAATTATATGGGTAAAGGTTCTTGGGGGCAACTTGATTTAATTAAGGAATTTAATTAACTTGATTTTTAGAGAATGGGCTTGTAGTGTTTTGAAAGGTTTTAAATTAATTATAGGTTATTTTCTAAACCTCAATAGAAAAAATTTTGATTGTCTAGTTCACTACTAAACCGTTAAGATTTAATGGGTAGATTTACAATTTTAAGGAAAAGGGTTTTTTAATATTTATATTCTTAATAATTATCATAAATTATGAATTATCTCAAAACCATTAATTGGGGGTTTAAAATCGGTGAGTTATGATCTTCCAAAATCAAACCCTTACCTTAATATCTCCTTATATAAATGTACTTCCAGATTTCATTAATTTTCAAAAATTACACATTTATCCTTTATAAGATTAAAAAGAGATTGGTTACTACCACTTATCCCTTTTCATGTTTCTATTGTCAAGATATGTTATATAAGATTATCTATGCCCATTTAGCCCTTTGATTAAGCCTGAATATTAATCCTTAAATTTCAAAATTACCCTTTTGCCCCTAAGGCCTTAGCATTCTATAATTTATTAAATTAGACTCAAATGACTTATAAATTTTATTCTACCTCCCTAGAAAATATGAATTTTCTGAATTTATTTAATTTTATAAATATTTTTAATGCAAAAATAAGGATTTTCAATGAAAAATTAATAACTCAATTAAAATAAAACCTTTATCAATAATAAAATTATTGGAGATTCACCTAGGTCAGAGGACCACTTGGACCAACTTTCATGATTTTTAGAGGTTTAATTTAAATGTTAGAATTATTTGTTTGTTTTGAGCATTAATTAAACATAAAATAATATTTAAGTTAAAAATTAATTTTTAAATTTCTATTAAATCTCCTTGCATCCAAGTAACTCAAAGAGCCAAATTTCATATTTTTTATGATTTATATTTTAATTATTGGAATTATTTTAGTGATAGATTAGAGAAAATTCATTTTTAAGCCTTTAAAATTAATATCTTGATTTGGAAAATTAAGAAAAATATTTTAATTGGTTGTAGGTGATTAGAAAGTTAAATGTGATATTTTAGTGTGTTTTTACATTTTTACAATTTTTATGATTTTTAATGAATATTAAAATTTTTAAATACCCAAAAATAGCTCAAAAATGAAGTATTTATTTTAATTTTAATTTTATTTTTTCTAGGTTCCTCTAGTAAGAAGGAGCTCTCAAAATAAATTTGGTAATTTTTTGAGTTGTATTATAATTATTAGAATTATTTTAATGCCAAAAATGTGATTTCACTTAATTAATCCATTTGAGTGGTCAAATTAACTCCAATTGACTTGAAATTTTTATGGGGAGCTCCTATAACATTAAATTATAGTGTGGAGTAGTTTTTATGTCTTTTAAATTTATAATAATTCCAAATTAATTTTATTTCATTTTCTAGGGTTGGGAACAATCATGGTTATTTTTAATGTGTTAAATCAAGTTTATATTTTCCTAGCGTCCTCTAACCAAAGTGAACCTACAAAAACAGTTTTTTGTATTTTCTAATGAGTATTTTAATTGATATAGTCTTAATACCAAAATAAGGACCATTAACTTGAAAATTAGATATTTATAGTTGTAAATGTTCCCTGACCTTAGAAAAATAAGGGGAGATGCCTAACAATAGAGACATCAGAAGCCCCATCGTCCCATGCCACGGTGAAGTGTCTATGCAAATGGGGAATCAAAATAAGAAAAACACTATTTAATTAATTAAAAATTATATATGCATCAAATAGACATGAAAAGACATGAAAATATTTCCATATTGAAAATATTTCCATATTGTTCTCCTTTGTTCACTGAGCAAGGGGGTGTTTTTATTATATTTTTGTACTTTTTCTACACAAAGATAAAGATTTTTGAAGCTCTGGCTATTTAAATAATTCAAATAAACACTATTTTTCTACATAAGTGACCTGAACTTTCCACGCGACGTCTTTCGGTTCGGCGTCGCTAGCCACCTCGGTGCTAACTCAGCCCACAGTTCACGTTCCATTCCTTCGTCTGGTGCAATCTCATCCATCCATCCAATAAACACTTGATCTAATGGTGCTCCGTGATCGTCCCAAAGCCCTAGCCCGAGAACCGTCCAACTTCTAGGCTTAATATCTCTCTTGATACTTAATTAAACTAAGAGTGGTTTGTTCTTGTAGACTCATCTTGACTAAGAGAACATATCTATATGGTTAATCAACCTTTAAATAAAATCTATAACAATGGAGAGTTAAATGAATTTTGGTCTAGGGTTAGGTTTCAATACCTTTGCCCAAGAGGTGTGGCCTCGATTGGGTGCTTCCAAAAGCTTGCCTTGAGCCTAAAGAGCTCCAAGATAAAGCCTCAAGCAAAGGTGAGATGCCTAGACCCAAATTCAACCATGGTCAATTTAGGCTGTTGATCAAAGTCCACTTGAGGGTGCACTAACGATGGGGCTTTTGTTGGGGATCTTCTTCTCTCAATGTGGGGATGGTGTGGGTGCAATTAATTTGGATTTGGTGGAGGTTTTGGAGAAGTCCTATTTTGGCGTCAAATTTGAGTTGAAAAATTGTCTTTGTTCAGTGGAAGAGAAGGTTGGGGCATGTTTGCATTACACTTAGGAAGTCTGGAAGAAGCTCTGGAAGCAATTTGGTAGAGTCTACCCAAGGAATTCCAAGCTTTCTTTATTTGGCCATGGAGGGTGGGTTTAAATAGTGGGGGAAGGAGAGGTCGTCAAAGGCAATTGGTGGGTGCTTTAAGTTGCTTATGTGGATGCCAGCAAGGTGAAAAAATCCAATTAGGATGAGACAGCTTGGATGGGTTTAATTATGAGTTTTAGCCATGGGGAACACTTGGCCATGGCTTTTCCGACAGCCTACGTGGTCGACCGACCAGGGAGGGGTCACCATCAGACTCAAGGAAGTTAGGGCTTGGGTTTAGTGAAGTCAATTGTGGTTGGCCATGTGTAAAGGCATTGACTTGAAATAGTATAGGGGAAGGGCTATTTTTGGTCAAATCATGGTTTGGGGCTTGGTTCACCCACCAAGGAAGGTTTGGGTGCTGAGGAGAATTAGGTGGCTTAACTGAAGTGGTGTGGAGAGGTCCCCATCCAAGGGATTTTAGCTAAGCATGGGTTTAAATGTGTTATTAAAAGGGTTAAAAAACTTTTTTTAGTGGGTTAAAAGTGGCTTGTCCTCTTGCCATTAATAGTTTGATAAGGTGGCAATGCTCTCATGGCTCACCTATGGCTTGGGAGTGGCTTCATGGCTTGCATGTGGCTTGACTAATTTTCATGATAAGGGATTTTGGATTTATTTGGTATTTTTGTGGAGTTTTTCATGAGGCTTCATTTGGAAAAATTTCATCAACAATTTAAAACTTTAGGAATTATTTTAATTGAATGAATGATGAGGAGAAATAAAACCATCATGTGGGTTTTGGATTTGAGCTTTCGGAATTAAATGTGGTGGGCTTGGGCATTTGGAATTGAAATTAATTTTGGGATAAACTTTAAGCTAATTGAATGTTGATTTTGGTGTATCACTATGTCATGAAGGCTGTTAAATAATTTCAAGTGATTTTGAATTGAAATGGGAGGTTAATTTGCGGAATTTGGACATATGGTGAAAAGTGGGGCCTTTTTTATTTTGGTAAAATTAGGCTTGCAATTAGTTCAAAATTGGCTTGAATTTTATTTTCATTACGATTGGGGATGTTTAATTTTGATTTGGAATTAAAATTGGGCAAGATTGGGGTCAATTGGGCCAAAATTGGGGTTAATTTAGAAACATTTGGGCCTTTAAGGGCAAATTGGGGCTTTTGTTCAAATTGGACTAATTTAGTTAAAATGGGTCAAATTCATATCCAAAAATTGAATTTGGGAATATTTGGGATGATTTGGGAATTTTTTAGAATTTTTGGAATTTTTTTGTCATGAGGGGCATTTTGGTAATTTTTGCAATTTTTGGGGGTACTTTGAAAATTTGGTATATTTGGTGAAGTTAGGTAGTGGGGAGTGGTTTGAGATTATTTTTGAAAAAATTTGATCGTTTTGGGTAATTTTTGGATTTTTGGAAAAAATTAGGGTTGTAGAAGTATTT